TCCTCTGCGCGTCGTCGGTCCTTTCGGGTTCCTCCTCGACTCCGGGTCCCGCTCGCTGCTCGGGACACCAACTGCCCCATCCCAGCCTTGCCCTCGCCCCAGCCCCTCCTGCATCCTCCGTCACCTCTCCACGGAAGCGCCACTGTCACCCGGTGCCTCTCCTGAGAAAACCTCAGAGGGACTGGAAAGACCGAACCCTGAAAGGCTGGGGGAGATCATGGGGAGTGGGGGCTCAACCCCCAAAGAATATAAAAATTCCATGTTCTCCACCTGTTGAGTTGGGGAAATAAGGGCCTGCCCGGGGGTCCCCTCCTCAGCTCTCCTACTGGTGTCTTCTCCAAAAGTGACAACTATGAACTATCTTCAATCTTGATAGTAGATGGTGTCAGTAGGACTGGAAAAACGTGAACAAATTATAGGGCCTATACCTGGAAGATTGAAACTAAGAAAATTCTGACCCCTTCCCCTAAGTGAACTTAAAAAATAAAATAATTTTTTTATTCTTGTCTATAAACTATTTTATTTTCTAAGGCAATGGCAGAATATGTTTTACCTCTCCAATGAGGGAGGTAAAATCTCTAACAACAGAATTTCAAAAAAAAAAGTTAAGTTGTGTTGACCAAAATCATTGAAAGTTACATTATGAAGAAATTACCTGAAGATATATGACACTGTGAAGAAGGACAGGAAGCATTTAACAACTTTCTTTCTAGAAGTCGTGAATCTGACTGCAGCCTGAGGTGCATTTGGCATCCCAAACCCTCCCCTTTTTAAATTTCAGTCTTCTGTTTTGTACATCAAACGCAAAAGGATGCTATTGAATGGCATTAGACGTGGGGCTCCATCCAGCAAGGGGCTGGCAGCGTCCCTGGAACAGCAGGCCTGCCTGCCCGAGCCCTTGGAGGAGTGGTTCTTTCCACACCAGTCACTGGCTGTGCAGGAGCCTGTCTGTCTAAATGTTTCATCTGCGGGCAGTGAAGCTCCTTTTCACGTCTAGGTCTTGCCCAGAAACACGTGGGGAAACAGATTATTGGATTCTCTCTCAAAGTTTAATTTTAGTTAGGATACAAAACTAATCAAACAGGCCCCTTTCCACTTAAAAAAATATATCTTCCCAAGGACATTTTAGAGTCGTGCTGTTCAATAGAACCCTTCCTTACTGGGACTTCTCTGTGCTGTGCAATAAGGCAGCCAGCCCCTAGTCATGCATGGTTATTGAACACTTAGAATGTGGCTAGTGTGATTGAAGAAATAATGTTCAATTTTATTTCATTTTCATTAACCTTGATTTTAATAGCAGTATGTGCCCGGGAGCTGCCATGTTGGGCAGCACATTGTCAGAGGAAATCTGTACCATATGGTCCCATCACCTAGGTAAATGGTAAAGAAACCAAACAGTCCCCCTACACGCCAGCATGGTCTCCCCTGCAATATCCTGCCAATCGGTGCCAGCCATGTAGCTGATCTGCAAAATCATTAATTCTCATTGGGCACAAATAACCCACTCGTCAACTGTTACAATGTTTTGGGAGAAAATTAACTTTATTCATTCTTTTATTCGACAAATAGGTGTTAGAGATTAAGCATTCGTTCAACAAGATGGAAGGCTCTGGACATGGAAATGTCAACAAGATTTTCACTGCCACCTATCATGAAGTTTACAGTGCAGTGGAGAATGCAGACATTAAACACGGTGCGCCAGAGTGAATTACAGCAGTGACAAATGATATGAAGGGACAATGTAGAGTGCGTACTCCGAGGGAGTATTTGTACGAGCACCTGATTTAGTCTGGGGGTCAGGGAAGGCACTTGGAGACATTGAAATAAAATGAAAAGCATTGAAGCAATGTTCTGTACCGTCTAAGTGACCTTGGGAAAGTTATTTAAATTATCTGAGCTTTAGATTTCTCACCTGTAAATACTTTTTGTGAGGATTTATTAAGATATATGTAAGTGCTTGGCACATTATCTAGTTTACTGTAGGCACTCGGAAAATGTTAGTTTTTCTCACTTTCCAATCTCTTCCTTTATAATAAAACCTCTTAAATATCACCTTACTCATTTTTTGTGATACTTCATCCTTTCTTTATTTAACAAATATTAATTTAGTATCTACCATAAGCCAGGCACTATTCTAGAAAAACAGCAGTAAATGAAACAGACAAAGCCCTAGACTTCATAGGGATTGTATTCTCCTAAGGAGGTAGATTATATATATAATCATAAGTACATATATAATCATATATATATATATATATATATATATATATATACACACACACACACATACATACATACATACATACACTGGGTTATAAGTGTTGTGAAAAAATATAAGAGATTGTGGGTGTATGCATGTATTGGTGGCCATATAAAATTGATTGGTCAGAGAAGTTCTTTCTGATAATTTTAGCAAAAAAACAGAAGAAAGTGAGGAAACTTACATGAGGATGTCTGAGGAAAGACTGCAGGAAGAGGGACGAGCAACCCAAAGGCCTAAGGGAGACATTGAAGACCAGCAAAGAGGCCAATGCGGGCTGGAAGGGGGAGGGAGCTGGTGGGTGGGAGGGAGCTGGTGACGCGCTGATCGTTTAGGCCAAGGTGTCCAATGGAATTACAATGTGAGTCATTAATACAAGACATAGAATTTTATTCAGTTCAACATATCCAAATATTATCATTCCAAAAGGTAGTCAATATAAAATTATCAGTGAGAAAATTGCCACTCTTTTCATTGGTACTATTTTCCAAGTCTGTTGTGTATTTTACACTTACACCTCATTTCAGACTGGCCACTTTTTAAGTGTTGCATAGACACATGAAACAAGCATCTCCCATATGGGACAGTGCGTACTTTGAGCCTTGAAGACATTTGTAAAGATTTTAGCTTTAATTCTGAGCAACAATAAAGGTGTTGAGTAAAGTAGTCATACGGTTTTTATTTTTTTTGTAAGGACCACTCTAGATCCTATTGGGGGGTGGGGAACTAGATGGAGACAAGAGTGGAACCAGAACAGCATTTAAAACATTATTTAAGAGACCCCTTTGGAACAGAAGAGATAAATACCTTTCTTCTTTCTACACGATGTCTTCCTCATTTGTAATAAGTAGAGAATCTGGGGAAGTTTTTTCTATGAGTTTAATTCTCTATTTATTGAGATACCTCTAGCTATTGATTTGGTATTTACAAAAGTCAATGCAGTAATTTTCTCATACTTTAATTTTGAAGATACATGAGTTTTAGGGTAGGCAATTTTCTGGGAAATCTCTACCAAGCACTGTTTTTTTAATTAAAACAAAGAATAAAGTAATACATTCTAGGAAGAATTTAAGAAAACATTTTTATTTGGATAAAAGGAGTGTAAAGCAACAAA